TGGTTTCCTCGTCATCGAATTTGAACACAGCAGTAAATTCATTAACTAATTAGTCAACTCACTGGCTGATTTAATGGTTAACAAACTGCTTAATTGATTATTTTTTCCCTTTCTCTCTTTTTTATACAATCTTTAGTTTCTCCAAATCTTATGGAAATTCAAGATGTTAAATCAAATCTAACACTTGGAAAATTTCTGTATATCACATACAATCATTACTTCATGCTAGAACTCCTTCTAACAACCAATACGAAATATCTAATTTATAATATTAAAAACATAACCTACAACAGTAATATAAAAGACAAACTCTTCATCCTCTTTTCAACAGAGTATAATTTCTAACTGTTAAATAGAAAGCTCTTAATTGTCTATTTATATTGCCTATTTAAATATCAATAAGAATATATGAGAGAAAATAAAGAGTGTATAATAATGAATATACGTTAACTACAATATATCTGCTACATCCAGTGTTCTTCACGCCCGGTCCGGCATGGCCACGTGATTAAAGCGCTCGACTCGCAATCTGCGGGTCGCGGGTTCGAATCCCTGTCACAGCCGTGGGGGCGTTATAACCCACTATTCGTTGGTAAAAGAATAGTCCAAAAGTTGGCGGTGAGTGATGATGACTAGCTGCCTTTTCTCTAGTCTTACACTGCTAAATTAGAGACGGCTAGCGCAGATAGCTCTCGTCTAGCTTTGCGCGAAATTAAAAAACAAATAAATTCTTCAGGCCGGCTGGGATACGACAGATGAAGTACTGATTGAGACGCTGCTAGGAAATAGCTTGACAACTACTATGATGTGAAGTGGATGAAGTTGGGGAAGTGTAATTTTTTTTTATCAATTTTATTCATGAACAAAAAATTGGAATTCATGTAGGTTTTTTTAAAAACATTATAGTATTTGTTTTATTTATTATCAATTATTATTTTATTCAGTTAACATGCTCGTTATTCAGAAAACTAACGAACCAACAAGCTAGTCGTCATGATCACGAAGTTAATCAAGCAACCACAGCGTCAAAGGGAGAAGACTACATCAAGTTCATAATTCATGAAAATGCTTATATTTTAAGCATGCATTTATAGGTACATTAGAAAACATAATTATAAAATAACACTAAAAATTTGTGATTGAACGTTGTGCTTATAATATTAGATGAGTTGTTTGTTTGCTTATGTTAAAACGCTACACAATGAATTATCTGCGCTTTGCCCTTAGCGAATATCAAACCAGGATTTTTTAGCCTTTTAAGCACTAGCCTATCGCTGAGCCACCGGGGGCCAGAGGAGTTGAATACTAATCCAACAAATGTTAAGTTTGTTGTTAGCTTTAGAATATGAGGTAAATGATAAATTTCCGATAACCCAAAATAAAATTGTGCGCAATAAAATTATAACAAATCGATGACGTGAAGCAACTCGTACAACTTTCATTTTTCAACCAATGATAATTAACGTCAGCATAAAATCGTTCGGGTGTCATTCACTGGTGTTTATAGTATTTCACAAAACTGCTTAGAGGGAGTTTAGGCCAAATACGCGTTATACTGTATTGATATATAGATTTCACGATTAAGAATAAAAATAATATTAATTAGGTTTACGCAGTAACTTCTGTAGTGATGAATATCTCAACAAACTCTAATTTCCACTCTCCTCGCCTTATTTTAGAAGACAAACGGAAAGAGGAATCAGTAAGAGCGTTTTTTTTAAGTGAAGCATTTAATTAAACTTAAAGGATGAAATAGAATATATTTAGGAAGATAATGGTTTTGTATATGATTAAGAGTCTGTGCTAACTTCTTAATCAGAATTTAGGACGATAAGTTGGACCTTTTTACTATACATTAATAATACAGTATACTATACTACTAATACCTAGGAAAATTAGAATTCTACAGTAAAAGTTACAACCTTAGTTCATGTAATATAGCTAGTATTAAGAATAAGATGTAACAATTTCAAACCCTGATTCAGTTATCTCTAGAATTGCCTTGGGCTTGACAGTGCACAGGAATCCGAATGCACCTGCAACAGGTGGGCTAGTTGTTGTATAGTTTTGAGGGTAAAGATTTTATATTAGGGAGACGGGTTCCACTTAAACTGGCTAGATGGTAAGATATTGGGTGAAGATTTAAATTAATTAATTTAAGACAGGTTAAATAAACTTCTGTAAATGGTAAGGAAGCTTTTGGAATAAAATTAACAAGATAGCTAGACTATGAGAAGATTGAAAAAACTTAAACTAAAGCATCACAAGTGAAAAAATATTTTTTAAAGATATGTCTGATATATAAAGATAAGCTTAAATGCCATTATTCTAATGCTAGAAGTAGCGGAAACAAATTATATGAGGCCAGTGCTCAAGCAGAAATGGAAGACTATGATGTAATGGAAATTACTGAAAATTTGTTCAATTTAGAGAATACTGATAATTAGAATTTTTTTGAAATTCCACAGGTTATAAGTAATATGATAATGATAGAATTTTTAAAACAGGTGAAAGGGTGGCTCTTTACCTAAGGAGTGGACTCCATCTTGCTAGGAATGATGATAACAACAAATAGTTGTTAAGAAGCTGAATGTATGGGCCAGGCTTACTTAAGTGTCCAATTTGATATCGTCAGTGTTCTGAGGCAAATTTCTCTGAGTATGTACCTTACACAAGCATATAATAATTTCTAAATGATAGACGATGGACAGAGCTTTCCAAACATATATAACATGTTGAGTTATTAAGTTTTTCCAACAAACGAAGGAAATAAATAATGGTGTGCTGTTAAAAGTAGCATTTCACAAGCAGAAAAATTGAATTTCAAAGCAATAATACAAAAATTGTAAGCATGACTCAAGTCTTTATTGTGATTAATTATTAAACATTTATGTTTTGAAAATGTATTATTAGCTGATTGTCCCATTACTTTTTCACATATAGAAATATCCAAAGTAACATGTCAGCATAATCATGTGTTCTTCTTTACTGTTGTTTATTTTCAAGACAATAATTACAACTTTTTGAGTAAATAAAAAGATTAGAGTCTTAAATCACTCCAGGAAGTATATAATTTGAGTTCACCATATCTCAAACACAGGATACCAAGAGATATTTTGGGTATGTCCATTTGGAGCTTGTACTAAAATCTTGTACTACTTGATCTCCTTTAAACATATATATATATATATAGCATAGATACTCAAATTATTGTTGTTATCAATAACTGAAAAGGGTAAAAGTAAATTGCATTCTTTATTAAATTAACTGAACATAAAATTGCATGAACTCCTTTACTTCAGTTTTGCTTCAGAGGGGAATATCGAGTGCATAATGTTTTCCCACCATACTTAGTTTCCACCATTTGCAGATGATTAGGGTAGGGTGAATTTGAAATGTATTAGTCACAACTCATTTTCTTGCAAGAAAAGTCCTTGAAAGTGGGATTACATAACAGGTGTGTATATCTCTTTAACTATATAACTGTGAGTGGTGGTAATTTTAGGTTTAAATGACTTGTATATTTCAAAGCTAAATCTGTGAGCAATAATTACGGGTCTATTTATAAAACAGATAATTGGGGATATGATGAGATGCATGTCAAGAAGTTCACAGAATGGGTAAAGGAGATCCCTATTTTAATTCAACTCGTATATGCTTTGCACTTCTAAGTATAATGCCACATTATAATAAAATTTTACGTTTATGATTTGTGGAAGTAGTCTAATAAAAATAACTATTTTTATTAGCCTGCTATAGCTATGTTTACTGTAGTAATGTAAAGGAGATTGCATTAATTTCTACACCTTTCTTTGCTAATATACAGAGGTGTTATGCAATGCATTTCTGTGATGGGTCTCATATTTGTATTTTTAGAATGGATGGTAAACAAATTTGGCAGTTGAAATATTATCACAGAAAAAAGGCAGCAGAAAAGAAAACCTTCGTACAATTTGTTTGTTTTTTGCCTTTTTATTCTAGGTACAATATAATCTGGTAAAGGAGAACATATGTGAAAAACAATAGTCATCTTCATTATGGTGGAAAAATATGAAATAATGTAGCCCTAGTGCTAGATTTTTGGCATAAGGTTTTTCAATAGTTATATTTTTAAGAACTCTATAAATCATACTTATAGGAGAATATATTTTTCTAACATTTTCCAGTTGAAAAATGGACACTTAAGAAAGCCTGGCCCGTATGTGAGTTACAGTCAGTGGTTTCAAGGGTAAAAAGTTTTAAATTGGCAGTTGTTATAGGTCATCTGATCAGACATATGATATCAATGAGAAATTGTACAATAAGAACTGATATGTTACTAATAAAAATACTTGTTACTAATGCAGTAATTATGGTACACATTTATTGAGATTGTATGGAATTAATGAGGTAGAGTTTATTGAATGATTTGGTATTTGTTTTTCTATACCAAATTGTCATCCAGCTAGAAGTGATGCATTTTTATGTTTATTAGGAGGGGAATATTTGAGTAATAGTGATAATTGTATAATTAGGATTGATTGTTTACTACACATAGAGAAGAAATTATATTTTAGTAGCTAGTATTCAGAAAGCCAATTTTGAGACCATGAAACAAGATTTATCATTAATAAATTAGGATAAACAGTTAAAAGGTAACATAGAACAGATTTGGAAATTTTTAAAAATAAATTGCTTTTAATTCATGATAGACATCTTCCTAATAAGTGGAAAATGCTAAACAGAGAAGATTAAGTCTAATTTGTTTACCAAAGTCAGAAAATTGAAAATCAAGGATAAATGCCATATATTTAAAATATTCAATTTGACAGATAGCATGGAATATTTAAAGAACTATAGAATATCTTTTGGATTTGGTTGAAAAATAAGTTAGAAAATTCAAAGGGGACATGCAAGAAACACCTGGTTCATACTGCACAAATTGATATGAAGACTTTTTTTTTGCATTTTAATAGTAAGCAAAATATTACAATACTTATTAGGTCCATAAAGGATGCTAATAGCAAGGTTTATGTTGATACTAATATGAGGTGGCTGAGATTTTAAATGTTCTCTTCTGTTTTAGAGATGATGTTAGCATTATTTCTGAGAAATGTATGTGAATTATTGGGATTGACCTGAACTGTGTAGATATTAATCACCTGGTGTTAACAACAAAGATTAAGAAATTAAAAATGGTTAATGTACCAGAACAAGACAATGATTTTTTTTAGGGTTTTAGTCTAGATTAAGTCTAAGATCAGATACACATAATCCTCTATTTTAATTGCTCAGTAAACAATAATCAGATGCCTCAGAGTTAGAGAGTAGCTTATGTTACTTTTATTTCTAAAGATGTGATAAGTGTTGTATGAGAAATTATAGACCAGTTTTTAATTCTATAGTGGAGAAAATTCTAGAGTGATAAATGAAACTTTGCAAAAATCATCTAGTAAAAAATGGTATCATAAAAGAAATTCAATATGAATTTGCTAAAAGAAAATTGGTAGGGATTGGGGAAAAGCTAGTTAATTGGATTACAGGATGGTTACAAGGGAGAAAGTAAATGGTTGTTATTAATCAAATCCAGTTAAAATTGACCATTGTTACTAGTAGAGTACAGTACATCAGGGATCATTGCTTGGGCTTTTTGCCTTTTTTTTTCTTATTTATGTTAATGATATTGATAAGGCATAAATAGTGAATTAATAAAATTTGTTTATGACATTAAATACTTGGGTATTTCTAATTGAATATGTGAAGGTATTATCAAATGGCTTGGATGAATTTGATAGTTGGACTAGTATTTGGCAAGTGACTGTTAATTATAGTAAGTGTAAGATAATACACTTGTGTTATCATAGTTTAATTACACATTTAATATACATGTCAATTCACTCAATAGAATGTATTGAAGAAAATTATTTTGGCTTAGTTATAGAAAAGTTACTTCAAGCCATTAAGGTAGTGCTTTGTTGTTTATAGCAAAGCTAATAGATTTTTAGCATGTATTTATAGAAATATTGATTACAGGTCAAAAGTGGTAATTATCTCCATACAAACCATCATTTAGATGTCACTTGAAATAATATGCACACTAATTTAACCTAAGAAAGGATATTGGTTTATTGGAAAGGATTCAGAGGAGGGCTGTGAAAATCATTCTGAGGATGGAAGGGTTATTGTATGGGACAGGTTAAAATAACCTTCTGTCAAGAAATGAGCATAGGTGATGTTGTAGTTTACAAGATATTCAAGGGATTGATAGAATGAAGCTCTTTACTTTGTGTTATATTCTGATTGGATGAGAGGACATAGGTTTAAGTTTTGGAGAAGATAGCTTCAGCTTCAGTTAAGACTGTTTTATTTTTCAAGCAGGGTGATTGGCTTATGGAATGAGTTACTGTTGGCAGTATTGGAGGTTGACACTTTACAAGAGTTTAGAAGGGAAATCAGTAATTTCTGGAAAAATAAATGGTGGGTTTAATTTTTTTCTCTCAAGATTGGATGTGTAAGGACAGTCTTGAAGGTCCTTTGCTGTCTATATGTTAAGTTACTCTCTTGCAGATTTTTACATTATTTTAAGGCTACTAACTGTTAAATGGGCACACATCAGGTGCTGTAGAATGAAACCATTGAAAAAGTCCTTAAGTTTTTCAGTTATTTTATTTGTGCCAACAACTGTAAAAGTGTTATGATGTAGCCATTCAAGAGAAACAATTATGAGTTATATCAGTATAGTTATTTTTCCTAGGCTTCAATCTGTTTGGATAGAAAATTCAAATACATCTTGTTTAAATATTTTTGTCATTTGACTGGTGCTGATGACTGGAAAATATAAAACATGAAAGATTTAACCAGAGGCATCACTAGGTACTTAAAAAATTTGGGGCTTGGGCTTATGAGCCTGGGAATCTTTGGCATTTCAGTATGATTTTCTATTCTTATTTTTCAAGACACTAACTGGGGATTCAGGGCACTGTCAAATATAATCAGGGCATGGGCCTCATATACCAGTGCCTAGCAATTCCTCTTGAGTTAACCATTCAAGAAACATATTT